TCTGGCTGATTTGATCGTGGACATTTGTGTTATATGTGTAGGTGCAAGAGAACACAGTAACATAACACACCTTGGGAATCAGTGTTCTAGGGGAAATGCTACACAACCCAACATAGATTTCTATGGGGGACAGAAAAGAAGGAATTAAAATTCCAACATTATAAAATTTGATGCCACAGCAGAAAAACAGCAATAGTATTTGCAAATTAAAGACATGTCTAAAATTATGAGCCAATTCCTGGTGAACATGCTTTTAATATTCCATCAGAGCAAGGGTCAATCATACAAGTGTATAATGTATTGTACATGTAATTTTAAAGCTTCGAGTGAAGTCAAGATTTTCATTTGTATTTGAGAATTGGAGTAAAGAGAATAAGATAAAACATACAATAGAGTTTGATGGTAACTCTCATTCAATTGAAAAGGTGAATACAAAGACCCACTGGTGCCTTTAAAGGAAATCATTTAAATATGTAATTTTAAAATCAGACAGAATTTATATGGCTGAGTAGGGGGGAATAAACATTTATTTTTATTCTCCCTAATGTCCAAAAAATTCTTTTTGGCTTTGTTGAACATCATAAAATTACTAAATATTATATTAGATCCTTAAAATCTAATTCAAAAATATAAAGATAACAAGAACAAAATAACACTTTAAAATCACTGACATAAACTATTTTATTTGAAATGAATGGAATTTAAGGTGAAAAGATGGGCAACATTTAAGTTAATGTTAAGAGGCAATCTGATTATGTGAAACTCATTAAAACATTTTTATCTTTTAATTATTATAATATCATTTTTTCTTAGATGTTGACAGGGGAAACACAAAGACAGTGGCAAACACACAAATCCTAGCAATCACATTTTAGGAAAGCACCATTTTAGTAATGACAAGGGCATTTCATTCAGTTGCTTTAAAATGTTAATATTTGCATTATTATTTTGAGGAGCTGAGGGCAACTGACTGCAAAGAGACTAATATTTAAATGCGACACTTTCTGCAGATTTTTTTCATTTAGCCTTCACCAGAGCTCTGTTAAAGTGTATAATTGATTCATGTTAAAATATAAAGAGGGGGCCCAGACTTCCAAGATTACTCTGGTGAAATTATTAATAGAACTCTCTCACTGTCAAAAGTTCCTGGCTTAGGTGATAAATTATATAGTGCCCATAGGAATCAGGAAACTAAGATGCAGAAAGTTTAAATAATTGACTAATACCATACTCATCCTTGGTTGATTCCATATTAGAACCTAGTTATGCATGAAGACAAGACATTCTTGTCCCACTGCTCAGCACTGCATCAGAGCCTGCAAAATCAGCAGGTGTTTCCAGGAGACTGATCCGAAGATGAAGAAATATAGCCAGTCCAAATAGGAATGTCAAATATCCTGCAATGCTATATTAGAAAATCAGCCTCCTGCATTTTCCTGCTCCCAAGGATCTAGTCTTAAAAGGCCAATGCTCCTAGGAGAAGAAACATGTGAGCCAATGAATTCATAATGAATCATTAGGGAGTAGGAAGGAGCAGATTAAGAGACACACTGAGAAAGGGTAGAGGCTGGAGAAGGGAAAGAGGGAAAATAGTGGGGTGAAATTTGCCCACGTGGACAGAAGCTCACCAGTTGGAAAGATGAGTCTATTTCATAATTTAAGCCTTGATGTTACAGTCTAAGGAGAAAGCTTCCTCATCAAGTTTAAGAATGGTACTTGATCTGGCAGATACTGGCTGCCAGGGTGGGCAACAAGGAACAGAAGGGTGGATCAGGGACAAGAGAGAGCAGAGGAGCACAGGCTAAGGCATTCCTGGCACCAGAGAGACAATGTCCTCGTGGAGGCTTTGTGGTCGCTTTCCCAATTCATAGTGCATCAGCTCTGGTTTGGGATTTAATTAGCTGTGATCCTTTTAATACATAAAGCAGGAAAGGGGAGAAAGAATAGAAATTAGAAAGAAAGTGATTACAAATATAACTAAAGGACCTGATATTAAGGGTGTCAAAAAGGAGAGAAAAATTTTGCTTTCCAGGTGTAGTGGGAACAAACCCTCTGAAGAGCAGAGTGTGATTCTTTGCGGAGTCGCCTAGGAGCCTAGGACACGTGGTGCCAAGGTGTAGATATAGACTGTACCTGTGACCTGAAGAGGAGGCTGGCGTTATACTAATTCCTAAAGCTCCCTCTTGCACAACAGGAAGCAGAAAATGATAAAAACAATGATTTGCCCAAGCCAAGGCATCAAAGCATGGAGGCAATTATTAACGTCAGTGGTATCTTTTAAGGGAAGGTAAAGAGTGCAGTTCTCTTTAAGACACAAGTTTGGACATAAGGGATCTGCTCAGGCAGTCTTTCCAGATGTCTGTTATATACCTATTCCTCCTAGAACCAATCGTCAATTATGTGGTCTACAAATGCAATCTGTTCTCCCTGCTGGAGGAAATAAAGGTGAAATAACTTCAAAAAACACTGCCAACAACTCTCTGCCCTTTGCTTTTAATAGAGAAGACTTTTTCTAACATGGTAGGGATTATCCAGGAAGTAAATCTAACAAGAAAAACTCTCTGAGGAGCAGCCGGCATTGAAGGATCTACCAAGTAAACCAAAGTGGCAAGAGGGTGAAAAAGAAAGGAAATTACCCAAGATGCATCACTTAAGAAGCTCTGAGATTTCATGACAGCATTGCTGTGACTATATAAACATAAATCAAACTTGCCTTAAACCTTCTACCTCATTGTAGGTTCAGGTGCTTTCTTTGGGCAAATTTATGTGCAGCACTGATATTGCTTCATCTGGCTTAATTGGGCATGAAGAGTGTCAGAATTGAGTAGAAGACATAGATTGGTGTCCCTGAACCACTAGTCCCTAGCTATGCCACTTTAGAATCTCAAGTTCAGACTCGCAGCTGATGTCTTTTTGAGTTCCTATATTTATCATTTTAACTTGTAAAATGGGGCCAATGAAAACTGTTTTTAATAAGGAGATATTTAGTAACTAGGAAGACAAATTTATTCAAATTAGCTCAGGCAAGAGGAGGTGACCATTAGAATTAGAAAGGTAAATTTCATAGTCTAAAGCAGTGGTTCTCAACCTTCTGGCCCTTTAAATACAGTTCCTCATGTTGTGACCCAACCATAAAATTATTTTCGTTGCTACTTCATAACTGTAATGTTGCTGTTATGCATTGTAATATAAATATCTGATATGCAGGATGGTCTTAGGCAACCCCTGTAAAAGGGTCGTTCGACTGCCAAAGGGGTCGTGACCCACAGGTTGAGAACCACTGGTCTAAAGAAATACAGCCAGAGTTATAGCATGATGACAGCAGGGACCTAAAAGAGAATAGGAATGACCAGGATTTATCCACCTTCTATGTGGATCCATTTGGTCTCTGCTTTTAATTCTCTTTTCATATTATCTCCACATGGCCCTTCCTGGTTTCCCCAATAGCCCTCTCAGTTCCCAAATCTATGTCATATAACAGAGAACACAGAAGTTCTGAGGGCATCAGTTGAGCTCATGGGTTCGTTCTCTCTCATCATCCATGGTTAGTAGATAGAGAAGACCATGTGGTGGAATGGAAATCCCTTTAGGGTAGTAGAAGGAGGATTATTTCGACAAAAGGCATGTGAAGTAGGAAGTTGGCAGAATAAATAATCGGCATCTCTAACCTAACATTCTATCTAACAAGGTTGTTATTATGAAGATCAAATAACATCTAGAACACACACACAAGCATTTTCTAATCTGTAAAATACTATATAAATGTAAGGTAGTGGATAGCTTATATATAACTCTCAACGTTTTAATATCTGTGCTTCCCTTTGGCAAGAGTAACCCATTTGATTGTCATTGACTCAGAATGACACTGACTGGGAAACTTTCAATAAAGAATGTTGAGATAAATCCAGAATACAGATCACAAAACTTAGGTATTGTTCTAAGACAAACAAACAAGTAAACGACTTAAAGAAGTAGGCTTCAAAAGACATGAGAAAATTACAAGTGGATTTTGCATTTAAATATTACATTTCTCCCCAGTTTGTCATGTACTGGTCCCTGATATCAAGGCCGGAGGAGATGAATTTGTATTGGGGGGGACCCCTAAAATTAAATTTATACATGTGTCAATATGTCCCCTGATTGTATATTTGCATTTATACTCTGCTTCTCTATGTATTCATGAGCTCTATCTTTCTAAAATGTATTTGAAGAATATAATTTAAATAAATGATAATGACAAAAGTTGAAGCCAATGTGTATCAACATAAGGCTCAACTGAATTTGTTCTTTTCTGTATTTTGTTCTTTTCTGTATAATTAGCAAGTTACACCCTTTTACCCTTCTGTGTTGGTATATGATCTTCTTGCTTTTGGATGCTTATATGGTGTATGAATACATAAAGAAGTAGAGTATAAATGCAAATATACAGAGGACAGATTCTTGCCAACAGTGAAGTAAGAAAATATATCCACAGCATTCCCAGCTTCCCTTACATACATGTTTTTTCTCCCTCTGGAATTCCCTTCTGCCTGTATTTGTCTTTAAGATAAGTAATGTCATGCTGTGCTAATTATATGTATCCTCAATAAATGTGGCTTCTTAGCCATTTACACCTTAGCATGAACTTCAGCCAACATGGCTCCTCTCCTAAGGGTATTTGCATATGAATGTTATAATGACATGAAAAACTTCTTGTTTATTAAAATAACCATATCTGAATTTCTTTTTTATCTTCTTAAGGAGGAAATAACCTCCCTACATTGTTTTCTACCTTGATCCACTTTGAGGTTATCAACTAGTGTCTTGTGTGACATGCAGAAGCAGAGTGACATGAGGGATAGAGAGATAGCCAGCTGTGTGACAGTCACAATGAAGTAGATTGTATGGGCTGGTTTTGAGGAGGGAGTTACATGCAGCTATGTACAGTATGCCACTACATCTATAAATATAGAATTTCTTATTTAACACACTTGTTGACATAGGAGATAAAAGTTGCTTACCCCCTCGCTTGTTGATCCTGGCATAGCCCGGAGAATAGCTTGCAGACATGGAGGACGAGCTGCTGAAAGCTGCATGGGAGAGCCCAGACACAAGGGGTTCATCACATTTTTCTGAAAAGAAGAGAGAAGGGGGAGCGTTAATAAAAACCGTTATATAACAATTGGTGTGTATTTGCTAAAATAATTACTGACTACAGCACAAATTTAAAAATCTATGATACAACAATGGAGCAAATGATCAGAATTTAGGCAACTCAACTATGACATCCAGACAAATCACAGGAACAGTTTAAACAACCTTCTGGCTTTCAAGAGTTATAACTATGACCCAGTGCTTTATGCCTAAGGGCCTCAATTCAGACCTGCTCTCTCAGCATCATGAGCAAAGTTGAGGTTGTTTATTTAATAGGCTTTGGAATCTGGCATCTCCCGACAACCTTCATTATAGGAGTAGAGGATCCGAAACACTGAGATTGGAGGCGGGAAGACTAGGAGGAATGCTACCCGAACTAAGAGACTAGGGAATAGTAATACAATAATATCCAACTTGAAATGCATCTAAAATGCATCAGTTCCCATATTTGAATAGTCAACTGTGTTGGTACCAGGTGATCCTTCAATTCTATTCCTCACTTGGCTTCTATAGCCCCATTCATTTTTTTGTCCTCCTCCCTCATTACCACCTTGTTCTCCAAATCCTTTAATGGAGCTTTCTCATTTTATTTATGTCTAAATGGTAAAGTGCCCAGGACTCGACCCTTCGATTTCTTCTCTGTCTACTCTCATTGTCTGAGAGACTGCATCAAGGCCTGTGTCTTCTCATACCGGAACATCCCAAATGCTGCCACCTTGAGCCATCTGGCCATCAGTCATCAGAAAGGCTACATAGTCTCTGTACTTCCTCCCTTGTTCCCCTATCATCCTTCTCTACATAATGACTAAAGGGACACTATTAAAAATATAAGGGGTCCTGCGGCTCCTACTCTCAGTCCCTCAGAATAAAGTCAGAAGCCCTACAATGGCCACAGTGGCCACCTCCTTCGTCGCCTCTCATTCCCGCATCCTTGTCCATGATTATGTAGCCACCCTGGTTCCCTTCCCCTTCCTTCAACAACAGGCCTGCTCCTGCTGTGAGCCTTCACAATGACTATTCCAGCTGCCATGAGGCTCTACCCTACTCCTGCCAGGCTCTGCTCAGTCATCTTTCATTGCTGTAGACAAGCTCATTAAGTCCACCTGGCTGAAAGAGCATGTTGCTACCGTCACTCTCTGCACCACATCTGCCTCATTTTCCTGAAGAGCATTGAGAGTCACCTGACATATTATGTTTCTTCTCATTTAATTGTTTAGTTTACTGGAAGCATATGGGAATAAAGTTTTCGATAGTTTGCTTAACATTTACTCTCCAGGGATCTGAAGAGTGCTTGACACACACTCTAAAAACATTTCCAGAATGACCTTAGAGTCCTAAAGCACACTGCTTAATTACAATGTGGCACACCACCTGATGTTTTTAATATATGTTTTATTGATTTCAGAGATGAAGGGAAAGGGAGAGAGAGATAGAAACATCAATGATGAGAGAGAAACATTAATTGGCTGCTTCCTGAACACCCCCTACTGGGGATTGAGCCTGTATCCCTGGTGTGTGCCCTGACCAAGAATCAGCCATTGAGCAACACTGGCCGGGCACACAACACTTGATTTATAGAGAGGTGCTCTAAGTCCCCAACAAATGTTAGTACACACTCAGTCCTCCGTTCAATGGCACAGAGGTCACACTGGATATTCTAGAATGGTTTCTACCTCACCTGTTTATAAACAGAAAAAACATTAACAATAGGAGGAATGAACTAGTTTTCTTGAAAAGTCACTCAAGTAGAGTTCCATCTCCAATGATACTAGGAAAATTAATTATTATTTATTATCTCATCCCTCAAGTGTGTACAAATTTGAAGCTAAAATGAACAAATCCATCCCTGTAAACCATTGTTAGATTTCTTATTTTTCTTAGTTATACTGCAGGTGCCTCTGGGAAATATGGCATGTGTGTATGAATTTATTCCCCAGAAAGTTAAATGTAAAATGATGAAAATATGAACAAAAATTTTATTTTTAAAGTATTAGTTCACAAAGTGAGTGTCTAAAGTGAAGGATTTCATATTAATTGCTTTAAAAAATGTGCTATTCAGTTTAGCTACCAGTACCCCCAAATAAATAAAACCTTGATTTCCTCTCTCCTGACTCTTTGGAGTCTAACTTTTTCTAATCTTTTGCCACAGTCCTGCATTTAACTGGAGTAATTGTTATTTCTCAACTTCTCATTGTATGAAGAATGTGCTAATGTTCATTCATTTTCCTTTAATTCATTCAAATATGCACCAAGCACCTATGCTGTGCCAGGCAGGAGAAAAAGCAGCAATAGAGGAAATTGACAATATTACGCATTTTCATGGAAAGAAACAGACTAAAAAGTAAAAGGTAAACTTATATTACGAGATAGTGATAAATACTATAGAGACGTTAATATGAAAGAGGGATAGGCAGCTTGGGGGAGTGTGGAGGTTGAGGGATTTTTTTTATGCCTAGTCAAGGAAAGCCTCTGTGATCAGGTGACATACTCTGAGAAGTAATCAGGAGATGAGGAAGTAAGCCCTGTCAGAAATCCATAGCCGAGTGCTGGGAACAATTTTCTTAGTCCAAACCTGCTCCATAGCATAATACTAATGAATGATGCATTTTCCAAGAGTTAACCTTCAGTGTGTATAGATAGTGATATCTAAAGTAATTAAAATGAGGTTGATGAATAATTGATTAAATGATCCATTAACTAATTTAAATTTAAAATGTAAATAGAGCATTCATAAAACCTGAAGATAGTTTATCCACATTACATTTTTAAAAGTTTGACTTCTGTAACAAATCATCTTTATACCAAATTTTACATTTGTCCCTTTTTTTAAAATCATATAATTAAAAATTTTTAAAAATAGGGAACAGAAAATATAAGAGTATATAAGAGATTATTTGTGGGGTTTTTTGTTTGTTTGGTTGGTTTTTGTAAAGGGTGGCTGTAAAGTTATTATCAGAATTGAAGCACTTTTATGCACTGGCAATCTCACATTCTCCTTAATTGAGGTGTAATTTATAACCGTATAATTATGAAAATTAGATCCTAATATAAGGTGACAGGTGAAAATTTGACTTTGGGTGGTGGGCCCATGGTGCAATATACAGATCTTGTTCATGTTGACCAATGACACCCCCATCAATTTAATTAAAAGAAAGAAAATTGCTACACGTACTGTATATTTCTTGAATGATTTTAATTACAAATATTTATTGAGATTTTACTCTATACCTTATACTGTTCTAAACACTTTGGGACATTAATACATATATATGTATTAATATATAAAAATACACACACACACACACACACACACACACATACACACTAGTTTATAGTCCATTTCTCCACAACAGGTAATAATACATGGGCTCACATGAAGTGGTTAAACATGAAAGAACAAGTGATAATACTAAACAGTTTATAATTCAGTGCTAAATAGAATAGCATCAAATACTGAAAGTTACACATAAATTAAAATGCAGGGCTATGGTTTAGGTGAATTGCTTATCAGTCCCGGCTCCATCATAAATGTGTAACCTTAATTATGTCAGTTCTCCTTCAGACAGACGACCACACAGAATAGGAGAGCATTAGCTAAGCTTCTCTCAAGGTCTATAAACAAGCATTGTCAAGTATGAGAGTCCACAAACAATGTACTATAGGCCAAGTGTGGCCCATTGCTTGGTTTTATAAATAAAGCTTTATTAGAGCACAGCTATGCACATTCATTCATGTACTGTCTACAGCTGTTTTCATACAACAGTGGGATGTCACAAAAGAGACCACATAGCCTCCAAAATAAAATATGCATCATCTGACCTTTTTTAAAAAATTAATTTCACAGAGAGAGAGGAAGGTAGATGGACAGAGAGATAGAGACATCAATGATGAGAGAGAATCACCGATGGGCTGCCTCTTGCATGCCCTCTACTGGGGATCAAGCCCGCAACCCAGGCTTGTGCCCTGACCTGGAATCGAGCCATGATTTCCTGGTTCTTGGGTCAACATTCAACCACTAAGCAACACTGGCTGGGCTGCACTACTTGACCTTTTATAGAAAAAAATTTCCCAAACTCTGGTCCGGTATAACAAATATCCCAGGTATCCAGGAGAAAGAATGATTAATGATCACTTATGGTATCAGGTAACATATAATATACAAAAATAGAACCTAAAGAATTGATGAACTACATATAGATGAAAAGGGGTTTAAGAAAATTATAGAAAGGGAGAACAGCTTAAGCAAAATCATGGAGGCCATAATGGGTAATGAAATTTCCTAGAGATGTTTGTAGAAGCACTCCATGCATCCATGCAGGAACATATTGCCATACTGACTATTATGATGAACTATCCAGTTTTATTTCCAACTGCAACAATAGTTATTACATATTACATACTCCAAAGAGTCAGCTTGCTTGCTGTGTTAGAACATGTGTCTCAATATTCTTAAATACTAGGAAGTCAGGCAAATCCCTGCAGAAAGTTACCATTTTTATAAAGGGGAGGGAGAAAGAAAGAGAGAGAACATGCAAACATTTGAAATAATTTAGTTTTGTATTTTCCCAAGCTGGGATGGCTTCCAAAACTACAGCAACACAACTACAGCAAATATTTGGTCTCTGGTGGAGTTCCCTTCCAGGGAATCTTGGATGAAAACTAGAGAAGCAGATGGGCCTTGAGTTTTATTTTCACACAATTTCAGTCAATCCGGAAGGCAGACTAGCTGTAAGAATTCTAATTCAATAATGGCTGTTACCCTTCACCTAAGGGCAGTGGGATCTCTATTGACAAGGGCCACGGGTAGGAGAGTGCACGGTCAAAGGACTTCAGTACACATGAACTTGGCATTAGGGGTGGCATTCAATTGTATCTCTAATTAAAATAATGTAAAATTTTCACAACGCAATATCATCGTTTCAATTTACAGCACTTAAAATGTTTCATGTCACACATTTGGAAACATAAATTTAATACAAAGAAAACAAATAAGAACAGCAAGGAATTCCAGAATCTAATAGTGCTATCAGGACAGAAGTTCCAGCAAATCTTCATGGGTACTTCTGGGAAAAAAGCTATTGTGGAAGGCACATTCTCAGTGCAATGCATCACTTAATGGTCTCCTTATGTCCTGTGCATTCAATTCCTAACTTTTGAAGCTGGAATTACCCTGCCTCAGGTTTTATGGCCATTTTCCTTCACGGTTAGGACAAATTTAAGAGGCCAGCCCTCCCTCTAAACTCTCTCGGTTCCAAGCAATGCTCATTATGGCCCAAACCATCTTGAATTGCAAGCTGAATAGTTGTACTAATTTCCTTCTCTGGCTCTCCTGTAGCATCTCAGTTCTTCCCAGAGATGTCTGTCTTCCTCTGATGCTCCTTTCAGAGCTGGAGCCCCAAGGACTGCACTTTGCCTCTTGTTGCTGAATTCCCTTATGCTCTGTCTGCTCAGCCACATGCCTGACTATTGGTAATTATTGCATTCACCAGTCTGAGGATGCAACTTCCCGGGTACCCACCTAATGGGAACTGTATCCAACTACAGCTTTCTACGTTATTCCTTGACACCATTTGTCTGACTTCCTAGACAGATTCTGCTATTGGTTACATTGCTTCAATGACAGGGGGAAATCCCCTTG